TAATAAATATTATACCATCAAACTGGTCAATACTCCATTAAAAGTTCATAGTTTATCAGTTTAATATCAGTAAATAATATATTTGACAACAGGTAATCAATTCTTTAAAAAATTAACATGAATATTGAAGCTTTTTGAATGTTAGCATAAAAGTTTTACAGTCAAAATCATATTGTTTGGTTAAAATGCATACTATTTACAACTTAGTACATGATACAACTTAGTACATGTTTGATTGCTTTTTGAGATATGTCTATTTTGGAGTTGTTGCCACCACTGGTCCATGTGCATACCCTATACATACCAGTCATGTAAGGACTAGGGCTGGGCAATGTTGACATGAAATAAATCATGATTAATTGTGTCATTTATTTATTGTAATGATTAATTTGATGATTAATGTCAATTGCAATCAGTTACACGGGCTTATAGCTACTGTTATGATCCACAGACTGGTTTTCCTTGCACTACTGTTTATGCTGCTGTTTCAGGTGGTTAAAAAAAGTTTGTAGGGTTAGGGTTAAATCCATGGTTCTTTCCATCATTGGGCTCACATGCATGCCTGATACTGATAAGGTGTCATACACAAAAATATGTCATCATCACATGGTACCAATTGCAGTAATTGCAAAGTGACAAAACATAATTGTTGACAGTTTTTCTGACTGTTAACTTCACACAATACAATTTTGCTCAACCTTAGTGTACCGAGCTGTATTATGTAATTCTACCAAATACTGGATCTATATAAGAAGTCCAACTGTCAGCAGAGGTGATTATGGAAATACTGCCAAATGACAAAATGACCAATTATCTATTCTCGAAAGAAAAGACAACAAAACAAGTTTTGTCCTTTGAAATTTCTTACATAAATGCATACACTTTTCACTCTCCTTATCCCCATTTCATCAGTACATTATTGGCCAACATGCCACAAGTTCCAGCCTTCTATGTGTTGTTCTTGTTTATACCCCTTGTACCTCTCTAGTTAATATAAGTTATGCTGCCATGTCAGCCTTTTTGTTTTTGTCATGATATACATGGTGCACATAGTTTCTTTGTGTGTCTAAATTATGGGTTTCGACTAACTAACTGCAACAAAAATAAAGTGACTTAGGTATCCTGATGAGCAGTTCTTTAAAAAATTTAACTGAAGACAGATAACAATGACTGTTTATGCAAAAAAAAAATAACATCAAAGTTTCAGGAACAAAAGTGAAGAATAAAGTGCAAAAGTACTTACAAGAAAAGCAAAAAAATGAACTGGTCACTGGAGATCAATATTTCATTTGAAGTCCAAGACTACTAGACAGTTTATAGGCAAATGCTGTGCTGGATAAGCATTCTGTGAGAATGTTTGTGGGTTTTTTTCTACAACTACAGGAGGACAAAACATTGTAGGTATTGAGAAGCCTGGGAGCTGCTCGGGGCCTCATGTCACAGATCAAGTTGGTCTGTGCAGCTGTCTTCAACTATTGAGGTCAGCTCAGTTTTCTACCTTGTTGACTTCAGGAATAATGCACAAGAAAGTGGCCCACAAGACACGATATAACACTGGAGCATTGTCTGTCTTTAAAGTGAAAAAAATGTTTGTTTTTTTGTAGTGAGAGTCAAGTTAAAAAAAGAAAAATATTGTCACAAAAATGCTGAGTCTAAAATGATGTTTAGAAAAAAACAGAAAAAATATAAATAAAACTACTATTTTTTATATTTTATTTTTTTAACATGTCAGAGATTAGCATTGGCACTATCTATGAACACATGGTTATTATTTTTTTTAATTTGTATTTTTTTCACAAAAATATGAATAAAAGGCTGTATGGTTAGATTTTTCAGTTGGAAACATTTAACACAAGATTCAGAGAAATACATTAAAATGGTAAAAATTGAAAATATAATATTATTAATATCAATGTGTATATATAAAAAGATTTTAATGTAACAAATGGTGATACGTGCAAAGCACACTCATATTATTAAAGATTGTTCAAAATGTAGCAATGCATGAGCTCTGAATGACGATGATGTTCGATTACTCAACAAACAAATCAGTAAATAAATAATCCAAGTATTTTAATCATCAGCTGATTTATTTGAAACTTAAACAATTACTAAAATGTTTGAAGAAAGCTCTCCTATCAAGTTTCTACTCTTTCTCTGTTTTTCCTTTTTAAACACAAACACACACACACAGATAATTTTTTGCCCCATCAATCAGCAACAGATTGACGGATGACAGTGACAACTTCACCACAAAGTTCATGGGGAACTGTGTCATCTGACTTCAGGTGAAAGGAAAAAGTGATGCAAACTAGCAAATAAAATTATTTGGTTCATGCAGTCCAAACATGAACAAAAAATGCACTGGTAATGTATGTCTTCTTTACTTTAGTGCAGGGCTATAACTTGCTCCAGAGGCCACACTTTGTGCAGACCAGAAGCTGAGGGGCCAAGCATCCTTAAAGTCATTATGTAAATAAGCATTACAAAGATATGGTACCGGATTTTAGCTAAGATTATGATGTCTGTTGATACCACACATGTCTATATCTAACTAAGAAAATATAGGAATTAAAGTTGAAAACAGAAAGTTTGGTCTCAAGAAATTAATGAACTAATTGGTGGGCTGAATTTTGGTCACCACTGGGCCTAATGTGGCCTGTGGACCACCAGTTGAATAGCCTTGTTTTAGTGCATACACATGAATAACACAACTGAATATGTGTCTTTATTTAAAACATTTTCACATTTCAGTTTTAACTTTTGACACTGCAATTTTCTATTTGGAGGACACAAATTTGGTCACATCTTGTAGTTGAAATATTTGGAATTTTCCATCTTCTCCCACTTGTCTTTGGTTAGTTTGAAGCAGCAACAGGTCCAGGAAAAAAGTAGATATCCATCTCCTCAGAGACACTCTCCAGCTCCTCCTGGGTGATCCCTAGATGTTTTCGGGCCAGAGGGGATTTGTAATTCCTAAAAGGAAGTTTCGGGTCTGCCCCGGGGTCTAGTGGGATATACCTGGAAAAACCTCAAAAGGGAAACATCCAGGAGGCATCCTAATCAAATGCCTGAACCACCTCAACTGGCTTCTTTCAGTGCAGAGGAAAAGAGAATGTACTCTGAAATCCCCGCAGATGAAAGTGCTTCTCGCCCTGTTCCTAAGGTTAAGCTTGTCCACTACAAAAGCTCATGTTGGCTATATGTACCTAGATAGTTATTCTTTTTTTGACTAATGCCTTTAGTCCTTGTTTTATTTTTTTCCCTACTTTAACTTTTTCTTGTTGCTGAGTTTCCTCTTTGTGACATATATTTTATCTTATCTTATCTTATCTTATCTTATCTTATCTTATCTTATCTTATCTTATCCTATTTTATCTTATCTTTTGTCATGACAGTAGATTTTGGAAATTTGCAATTGATCACTTTATTATGTCTTATTTATTATTATTTCTTTATGTTTTTCTGAAGTTACAAGCTATGTGAAGATGCTGTTGGAGGTTCTTGTTAGTCATTTAAAAGACTCCCAGACCCATCAGACCTGGTTGGGGAAATTTGTAATTTGGAGAAATTTGTAAAAATAAATAAAAAAATAAATAAAAATTCACAACTTGTTTTGGTGTCCCTCTAACTAGTCTGTGCGGCCTCTGACAGGCCCACCCTCCAGCATTTGTCAACCACTAAAACTTGAAGTTTTTTTGGCTGAAAAGCTGGAGTTTAATATCAAAACCCATAAAAAGCACGCCATCACCGACCCATGAGTGAACGAGACACTTTTGTGTTGCTCATGGAGCATGATGGATGATCCAGCAGCTGATCACTTCTGAACACTTATCTTAATCTGCATCTGGAAGATGCTCATTTATCTCCAATACTGGTTAAAAGTGAACTTTATCCGTTGAGATTGTATCCATTTATATAAAAAAGAGGAGGTGCATTCAAGCCACAAGGATAAGTTTGTTGGGAAACTGAATAAGCATCTTGCTCCACTTTACTCAGCGACCATCTCGGCTTCTTCCACATCTGTCCAACAGGAGGAAAAAATCAGGGAAAAAAAGAGCAGGCGCTTCTCTTTTAATCTTTAAATGCTAAACAAGCATGAACTCCTGCCATCGCCTTCATTTGATGTCTAAAAGCATACGCTGGTAGGCCTAAATATTTCATTCCATGCGCCTGATAACACTGGAAAAACTCACTGGATAATGAAAAGGTATACACCGAGAAGGGGGGCATGGGAGGAAAAGTGTGTGTGCAGCGGTCTTTCAGACTTTGGAGTTATAAACATATATATGAGTTGGGGTGTATGCAAATAGTGGCCACAGTTATCAAGGCCTAAAGTGAAGGAGAATATCTGAAAACCACAAACTCTTCTTCTTACTTTCCTGTCTGAGTGTGATGGTAAAGAGAAATTGCCCCTACCTCACCCTTCCTCTCTTAATGCACTGTGTCACATTAACCCCAATGATTTTTTTTTCAGTGTCTAAATTAATAAGACACAATGGCGTGTGTGTGTGTGAGCTGTGAGTGAGTGTATGCTTGAGCGCCTCAGACGGGGTTGTTAAGGTGGCATTAGAGTTAATGCAAATTAAAAGGCGGGCGGGGGTGTGGTGGGGTGGGGGTGGGGGGGTTAACTGATCTCTTCTTTTGACCCATCCACCCCACCTCCTCCTCTTACAGTTTCCAACGTTAATGCGACCATTTGCTTGGAGGTACTCACCCCCTATAATTCAATTTGTCAAAATGAATGAGAACAGACAATTTATATACCACCACCCTCCTCCCCCCACCCTTATAGGAGCTTAAAAAAAAACAGGACTAAAGTTTCTCAGCCGACACACTTTGCGTCTATACGGCCCCTTTTTATTACCACTTTCATCTGTAAATGAAAGCGAGCAATTATCATATTATTATTATTATTATTATTATTATTATTATTATTATTATTATTATTATTATTATTATGTTGGTGGAGGTGGTGCGCGGGGGGGGGGTCCCCTCGGTTCCCTAGATAGTCATCAATCACTCTCAATCGACCTGTCACCGGCAGGCAGAGATCCAGCTGGAGAGGGGAGCAGCAGGAGGAGGAGGAGGAGTACATCATCATTAATTTGAGGAGTGACCCCTGGGGCTATCCGCGTGTCTCAGCCCGGGATTCTCCAAGCAAGCAAGGGAAGAAAGAGAGGAAGGTGGAAAGAAAGGTAGGAAGGAAGGAAATAAGGAAGCGCGTCTCCGGGACTGTAGGGCGCGAGTCGGCTTTGACGGGGGTGGGGGGTGAGAGGTGGGGGCTTTAGGGTGTTTGGTTACAGTTCAGCCTGAACAACAAAAAAAAAGACACGATTTAAACAGAGAGAAGGATGGAGAAACATACTCAGATGGAAAGATAGACGGTAGATATGCAGTTAATTAGTTTCCATTTTACAATTAGGATAACCCCTGTTAAATGTGTTAAAAATGTGCTTTTAACTGTTCAGCTGGGCGGAAATTATTTCCTAATTAATTAAGAATCAATTAGCGCCCCCCACGTGATTAGCGTCAGTGTGGTGGAATGAGAGGAATGCTCTGATTAGGCCTGATGCATTTAAAGTGAAGCAAAAGACTGATTAGGCTAATTGATTAATTGGGGATTATAAATAATTCTCAATCTCCAGCTAATGAACTCCCCTTCCCAACTTTATTTATTTATGTCGATTTATATATTTACCTCCTCATCCCGAGGAAAAAAAAAGTCTATTAAAGTTACAGTCTAGTCATTTTTTTAGTGAGGGGGAAACTTCTGACGTCAGCCCCTCCTCCGTTTAAAACAACCTGCCTCTGCTGCTGACGTCTTTTATAGCTACTACTTTTTTATAAGGCAAAAATATGTACCTGACAACAATGTGATTACTCCCGGGGAGAGAGGCGAGTGTCACTGCTTTTTATAGGTTTTACAAATGAAAAGAGAAATTTATTTTTTTATTATTAGTATTATATTAGTTAATTTTCTTTCCTGTGTTAAGAAGTAGTTTTGAGAGAGAAGCTTTTTTTTTTACACAAATTAAACATGCTACTCTGCTTCGCCCTATAAGCATCCTAGGAGTCTGGGCTTGCCAATCAATTGTGAAACAGAGCCGCAGCCTGCGTGAGAGTGGAGACCTGCAGTCTCGCTTCGTTTCTGGATATCGGAGGGACCTTTCTACCATGTCATATCCACAATTTGGATACCCATATTCGTCTGCTCCACAGGTAAGCTAATTGCGTTTTATGACCGGGGATTTTTTTTTGTTGTTCTTTTTGATTGATTCCTTCATCGATTGAAGCCCGGATCTTTTTACGCACTTTAGACAAGATTCGGGCAGACTTCTATAATGTCGTTTCGGCTGTCGGGAAAGGTATTGCGTTGCAGCCACTGATACCTACCTGTGTCTTTGTGGCGAGGGGGAAGGAAAAAAAAGGTAAAATGAGGGTAACCAGATTCCGCCGAGAGACCCCCCATCCGACCTCCCATTCACTGATTTCTGTAAGATAATAGCCGGCAGTAATGTCAGCCATATGTTTATCTGCGCTGGAACACACACGCCAACTTGTTCGGCACACGCCGCGCGTTTTTTTTTCCTCTTTTTTTTACCCCACAAGCCAGCTGTTGTTTTTATTTTGGCTTTGAGCCATAAAAAATCACTTGGGCTTTGCTTTTGGCTGCAGAGGAGCGTTGTTGGAAAACGTGTTAAGTGTTTGACCAGGCTTCCATGTCGTTTTGGACACTTTACGCACGTGTTTAACGCACAACCGCTCCCACAATTATGTTGCATTTCATTTCATTTTTTTATTATTTTTTATGAGCCAAATAACCAAACTTATTAAAATCATTACTAAATATGTAGTGAAAAAGTGAAACTCATTTCACAAGTAGGTTGATGTTCTGTCCCACTTTTAAATCAAAGTTTTCAAAGTAACTTTTCAATCTGTCACAGCAGCAAGGAACAATAACTTGTGGTTTCTGTCTCTGCCCGCGCTCAGTTCCTGATGACCACCAACTCTCTGACCACTTGCTGCGAGTCCACGGGCAGATCTATCGCCGACTCCGGAGTTGCAGCGTCCGGCCAAACGCCAGTCTACTGTCCGGTGTATGAGAGCCGGCTGCTGGCCACGGCGAGGCACGAGCTCAGTTCGGCCGCCGCGCTGGGCGTCTATGGGAGCCCGTACACCGGCGGTCAGGGCTATGGGAATTACGTTACATACGGCACGGAGGCGTCGGCTTTCTACTCGCTGGTGAGCCCCTTCATGTTTCCTCTTGGCATTGATTAATGGAGCCGCGGGGTGCTGAGACTCTCCTTATCTGATCTTTACCTGAAAACATCTGTAATTCACTCTGAGTAATTTTGCTTTAAAATATCGCCCAAGGCAAATATTATTTGTCCTTACTCTTTTTTTTTTTTACTTTGAACAAACGTTTTGTGCTTAATCAGGAAGTAAAACAATCTTGAATGCTGTCTGCTGTTAGAGCGTATCACCACAACACATAACTGTAAATTAAAGGGATTTTTTAATCGAATCTCAGCCAACAAACTGAAACAGTAATGTAACAAAAGTGCTTAGGCCTAAAATCCCACAAAGTCTATTTTTTACTAGGTTGTACTCTAAATGAAGTAGTAACAGTATTACAAGTGTAGTGAGTATATATATAT